CAAGTCAGTGTCTGTAATCACTTCCAAGAGGAACACTATTTGTTGCAGAGTACACAGTTTTCATGCTAAGTGGTGTCTTAGCAACTGGCTTGCTTTCCAATTCTAAACAGAACTTTCTTTGATTTAATGAGATTCCTTCCTTGTTTCTGGCAACTTCTAACTCCAGGAAGTAGTACTTCATGTTGCCTAGATCCTTGACCTTAAAACCTTACTTGTTTAACACACTCAATATCATCTAAGTTAGGACATGTCAAGAATACTATATCATCAACATATACAATGAGGATGATTGATTGTGTGCTGAACACTGAATAATTCTCAAATGATTGCTTGATCCTGTTGACTTCAAGTTTAGACCGTTTGATAAACCACTGTCTAACAAATTACAAATTAGTCACTATAATGTACATTTTACATTTTGATACACCAAATTTAATTTTAATGTAAAACGATTGAACAATTATATTTTGGTATCTAAATTTTATGAGATTTTCGTACTTACAATTCTTTAAATTACATATTGGTCCAATATTTAAATTTCACTTGAATCGATGAATCCAATCCACCAGTCCTTTTGAACCGATCTATGAATCCAATCCACCATAACATAAAAGTATAAATTTAGTTTGTACCATACAAGCTGTTGTATCACTCAACTGTATGAGAAGATTCGACCATTTTATATTTTCTCATTATGTAAAACATTAAATAAATAATAAAAGCGAGACGACTCTAAAATATTGCAAAAGCAAATTTATAAATTCATTTAGTACCTTTGCGGGGTACTAAACGAACGTCTACTAACTACATGTAACAGAATATGCGACATCTACATAAGCAAGTGTCAATAAATTGCTACGGTGAAAAATGATTGATTGTGGTATTGACGACCAACTAAAAGAATTGGTCAAAATCTTTACATCATCTACTTCCTCTTCGTTTCATTTTTCCTTGCCTTCGATAACCCTTTCTTTATTTCTTTCTTTGCTATCTTCGTCTAACCCTAATTAGTATACTATTTTTTATGTATTATAATCTAAGTATGAACGGGCCCATACACGACCGACCAACAGCCTAGAGAATTAATAATTGAACCAGGAACCACTAATTTTTTCAGCTCAATGTCGAGTTTAATAAAAAATAAATATATATGATTATTACTTATGAAAAAGTCGTCATTTTCCACTATAGGATTTGAAGGCATGAATGTAATGAATATAAATGAATAAACCTATACTATTCCATATCAAAGTTAAAAAAAAAATTTGGTGCATTTGGTCAATTTGCTAAAGCCCAATTATACACAAAAGAAAATTTTCAAAATACTTTTATCATCCGCGCGGTGGATGGCTAGTATTATTGAATTTATTCAACTAAGATGGCAAAGATCCATCCTTATTTCATTCATGAAGAAAAGAAACGAAAGGAAAGGAAACGAAATCCCATACAAAGCAATCCCAACTCATCACTAGGAAGGAAAACTGCCCGGGGCCAAACATCAAGAACAGAAGAAGAAGAAGAAGAAGAAGCATGCACTCACTCGATCACCTTGGTACAGATTCATTATATTCTATGTGTTGCACAGGCAATAACACTTGACGGGATACTCCTTGCAGTAGCAACCCACATGGCAGTTCTCGGGATCTTGATTATCACACATGCGTGGGTACCAGAATTGGCAGTTTCGGTCGTTGCAGCGCTCGTTGCAGTCTTCTTGTACCCAAGCCGCCGTATTGTTGTTGGATGCTCGAGGTATCATGACTACACCTGCAGCTGCTGTTCCTCTTTTGGGCGGTGGCAGCAGCAGCTGGGAGGAGGAGGAGGAGGAGGTCATATGGTTGCTAGTCGGAGAATTCTCCGGCGACTGCTGATCGACTGCTTTCGAATCAGTAAACGGAAGGAGGATGAGAAGCAAGACGACGGAAAATTTAGCAATGGTTAAGGTGGTGGGGATCGCCATGTTTTGGGAAGTTGGTTAGGTTATAGGTTAGGTTAGGTGTGTATATGTATATAGTAAGCGCAAGAGTACGAAGAGACTTGGGCATCTCTCTCGTGCAATGTATATAATATACGAGGAAAAGGATGTGATACGGCAAATTGTCTTTTTTTTAAACACTGTTATAAGAACCGAACCAGATTAACTCGTGGGTTATAATGGACCCAAGGTTTTTGTTAGTGTGTGGTATATGCATGATCCACGATTGAACCTCTTCCAGCAACAACTCGAGTTATTGGGATCGACTGGTTCTTGACAGGTTTGACACGAGCTGGGATAGACCAGATGAACCACCCCGGTTTGACTGGTTCACAATTTAATCACGACCGATGAAAAACGGTAATAAAAAAATGTACTTTAACGTAAACTAAGATCACCATCCAAATCGCTCGGTCACATTTATGCGTAATTTTCTTCGTTTCCCAATCTCCTTGTCGTCGGTTATATATATGTGGTTCACTACGGATTGTCAAACTGATTACCAGCTTGAATTTAATAAAAATAATAATTGATTGCTTTTACGAGAAGTTCGAATACTTTGTTAGAATTCTGTTTTGTATATATGATATGGATCTGAATTTTTTTTTAATGATAATTCACTTCTCAATAAGTGCATTATATATCATTTTTATGTTACGACACATGAACAGGTTCTTTCAACTTGGTAACCAACGCTTCCATAATGGTTAACCGTGGAACCATCAACCGCGAACTTTTTCGGTTGATCATCCAGACCCCGTTGTGAAAACATTACTTTTAACATAGTTGACATCCACACGATTGTATAGACAGAGACATAGTTGGCAAAAAGATTCAAATTTCGTATAAGTAAACTATATAAGACCTATAAATGGATCTCTCTCGCAAGTCAAGTTAGTAGAAGCCATGTTTTTTATCGCACCATTCGGTTCTTCCAATAGTATACATCTAGCTGCATGCCTAGCAACCAAAAACAACCCGATTTGGGATCCCATCCGAAATTTTGCCAAAACAAACGAAACAAAATGCATATACTGACCTAGGAATTAAAATATAGACGTAAATCAGCGGCATCTATTCCCACCGATCGAACCATGCACGTAAAACAAAAATAAGATAAATATTCAACGACGGAAAACAAGAGATCGAAAAGCAATGGGAAGTATGCACAACTCCAACTGATCCATGGAGAGCTGGAATTTAACGTAATGGGAAAGACAGAAATACATGATGCATGATAAAGTCTAACTTGAAATGATCATAGGTACAGTAAAATAACGAATTGGGATAATCGACAACCCAAGAAAGAAAACAATGATATCAAAGAAAAAGATGAAGAAAAAACGTAGATTTATGGGATTTACTAACACAACGTGTGTTAGTTGGTTCACGGGTAGAAGAGAGTCAGCTTGATTATACTTGACAAGATTGCAGGTTGCAGAAAAATATGAGAAGTATATTTAGTAAAGCCAGCAATATCTCATATAACGTCCTGGCAATGATAAACAATCTGATTGAAATCATATCACAGTTACTCGGAACATGTTGATTCGACCCTGGCTCCCGCGACTCGTCCACAATCTCTTTCCACAACCCCTAGCTTGTTTGTCATGACAGACGCAATTATCGAGCTTCGCTATAGCTCCAAACAGATCCCCAAGTCGGGAATCAACAATTATTTAACAAAGGAGTATTAATCAAAGATTTGAAAAATCGTACTCTACCGATGATTCGATGAGAAAAATCTTCTATCAGAATCGAAATCGGTAAGCGGTTTAACGACGGTATGAAATTGTGTTGAACCACAATTAAACCATGACTACTTCAGCATAAAATATCATGTCGCTGATCTTTGCGGCGTATACTCCGATACGATTTTTCAATCCTTGGTATTAATAATACAAAGATATAAGCGGCTACTACTGGTATTTACAAAAATTTGTTTGGGGAAGTGTACAAGTGAAAGAAAGAGAGGGGAATTTTCAGCAGAAGTGACCACACCCATAAACCAAAGAAATTAAAACAACGTACGCAAGCATTTATAATTTTCCATAAAGAAAGGCACATAATTATATCTTCTTGGTGGTCTATTAATGAGGCAGAGGAAGAAAGAAGAAGAAGTGGAGCGGTGGAACTCCAAAAACCATTAATATGTATAAATGAATCCTTCCCGTCCAAATTCAATTTTGATAAAAAAAATTTCACGATTAAAATAATTTATAGAACAAAAATATTTTTCACGATTAAAAATAGATTCGTCGCCCACCCCTGAACTCTCTATACATATGTACAACAATTTAACTTACAAAAAAAATTAGAGATCAATGGCATTACCATCTGCGAATCATAAATTCAAGTAAACGAGAACACTCGTCTTGTGCTCTCGTTCGACGACCGAAATATTCATTTACGAGATTTCGCAATCCATCAGTAGCTAGCTACTAAGGTAGAGGAGAATTGAAGGAGAGGTAGCTAACACACACACAGATCCCAACATGCTGGTGCTGCTGTAGAAAATAATAAATGTTGGTGGGCTGGGGCGTTACTTCAAATCCATGAATGCCCCTCGAGCTAACTATACAGTTGCAGTGGCAGGATCCTCTTCAATTCCATTGAATTCAATTCAGGCAAGATGATGAAGAAGCAGCTCAAGGGTTTCGACCAATCAGTTCCAATAACCTCGAAAGATCTAGAAGTACTTAATGTCCAGTTTACCACGAAACACGAACACTCTAGGAGTCCACTCCTCCAAAAGTGTAGAAACAGAGAAAGGGGTTGTTTGGTTGATGGGATCATGTTGGCTGAACAAAGTTCAGCCTTTGATGACTGTGTTTGGAAATAGACTATTGGGTTATGTCTTTTTCCAAGATCTCACAACCCTTTTTCCTAATTAACATGTTGCTGTACGTTTTTGGATCTGATCATCACATGTTCCTGAGATTCTGAGCATGGACTAGTGACGATTTCGATTTCCTGTATTATGACGCTGTGTAACAAACATGTTCTTGAACTATGGATTAGCCCAACTCTAGTTAACATGTTCGTCGAGACGAAGCAGGAATTTCCAGCATACATATCAAGTAGGAGGAAAGGGACTGAAAATTAAGAAAATTGGTCAGCAAGTATTTATTAGAACTCACAGTAGAAAGACGTGTTTGTTAAACTTATACAGTACAACGTACCAGAGATGACATTACATTACACGAATGAGAGGGAACCCTAAAAAGTCGCCAGCCAAGTCCCTGTTGTACTGAAAAACACTGTTCTGTTGCAACTTCGTTTTGTCCATCGTGAAGAAACCAAACCTTTGCATGCATTTCATCCCTAGTCCGAATTTGGTAAGCAATAAAGCCAGTCACCAAACAGAACCTTCCACCCTCTACCCACTCGTCAGGCGATTAAAGATCTGTTGCAACCATCACCACACCGACAGTGTATTAGACGTCATTCATAAAGTTCATATGTTGTACTTGACAGCAATAACTACTCTGTTTGGAAGTGCTTTAAGCCGCAGATGTAGGCTTTAGCTTAAGGATAGATAACGTTGATTAGCAAGCAGTATCAGATTTCAATATGTCCAATCACCAATGTCTAATGTTCTGGTAAGCACACGGCAGCACGAAATTCAAGCGCTTTACAAAGACTACAGCAAGGGGCGATGCTTGTAAGCTCATTGTTGATGAGCTTTAGCAGGGCGAGCAAAGAGGAAAGAAAAGGTAGCAGTGGAAGTACTTACCAGAACTGGATATTGTATAATCCATCCAATGACTGGTATTTGATAAAGGACAGCCTTGACAGACGGCCAAAAGCCTCTGCAGCAGAAAGTAACCGATTTTAACGACGAAATCAGGATTATTAATTCATATGTTCGGTAGAATGATGGAAGACGTTGAATACTGGCTGAACAAAACATGATGCATTGCAATTTGGATCAAGGGAGAGGACGGATACTGACCCGAACAGTGCAAAGCATCCATAAATTTCCAAGATTATACCGACAATCGGCCAACGAACAAAAAGGAAGAACAGTCCCAAAAGAAACGAGACAGAGCCCTGCAAATACATTCAGAATGTGAACTAAGTTCATCAATGTCAGATAGCTGATAAGCACGATTGAAGTTACAAAGTGGGTTTCCTATATAGTCCTATACGTTCTTCCTGAAGTACAGTTATCAAATCTCGAGCATGTAAATTTCGCACAAGATCACTCATTACAGACTAGATAAATACCCTTATTTGGCATTACCTTATAGTTTTCTCTGCTGGTAAAGAGCTTCCATGTGGTGTACCAGCCCAGTAAAATGGCTACCCCTGTCAACCACAGTATCTAAGTACAGAACTTAAAGGGTCAGACATGGTGCATATCCACCAGCAAATGAAGTCTAACAGATTTGAAGTAGATGAAGCAGCCATACATTTCCAAGGGCAAGTAACCCTCTGTCGAAGAACAGGATCACGCCGAGAAATGTAAAAAAGATCCCAAATCCAATTAGGCCCAATCCAATTCCTGCAATAACAACCCCAAGAGTAAAATAAACAGCAAAACACGGGAGGAATTAATGAACATTGGAACATACAACTGATCAAGGACCGTTTTGCAGAACATGCCAAGATCACAGCTTTCTAGTTTGGCCAATGAAGTTCACTAAAAGTAGTATAATTTTCAAGCACGAGGTGCGGCAACCTTATGGAGTCAGCTTGAAGTAACCAAAGTAAAGGGGGAAATGCACAGAATCGCGATCTCGTTTCAGCTCAACAATGTGGGATAAAGAGGTTAAAGCAGGAGGCTAACCCATGAAAGCTGCAGCATTTCCCAATCAGAAGAACAAACTACGTAAAACCCATTTCGCAACAGACTCCCAGGAACTGGCTACAAGCATAATTAAGTCTATCAACCCTTCAGAATTGCCAACAGTTCTAAATCGCCACACAACCATTCACGAAAGGGAACAAAGACGAAATGAAATTCGAGAAGAGCAAATATATATATAGGCGGTATCGAAGATAAAGTTGCTTACTTTGCTGCTCCGTCAGTTCGTACGCCATCTTCTGCTACAGCTTTTCCAACGCGACTCGAACTTATCGCAATCCGTAAATGCCCAAAATTTGTATTGATTGATCGGATCAAACTAAATATCCAAAAGATCGCACCAATCGTGCGGCTGTAAGAATGGTCTTCAATCGCTGCAAGGAGAGATGGGTTTAGGGCTGAACTTCAGGAACAAAGATGAAGACGAACGGAAGAGACGCGCACAGAGATCTAATGGGAATCGTCGGCGGCAGAGAGACGGTGAGAGTTTGTGGTCGGGTCGACCCGGCTTCGTCAGCTCATGTTAGTCTAACAACGCTAAAGGCCCACAAACAATTGCTTAGCAATGTTATCCAGTATCTTTGAATTGGGCCTATAGCCCGCTAACGGCCCGGAGAATCCCCCACAAATAAGTATTACGCTACAATTTCTCAAAACCGAAAGTTATTTGACTGATTTGTCATTCATCCAAAGTTTGGTGGTTGTTCATGTAATTAAGAACTTTGTCTCCCTCTTCCTCACGGAAAAGGAAACCAGAAGATTTATTTTTCGAGAGAAGAAGAACTCAGAACGGAAGAGGGTTTCAGCAAGTTGCAGACTTTGTCAATCCCTTCCTTCGGCCCACCATCGCCTTAACGCCCATCTCAATTGGTCTCGTTGGCCGCCATCTCAATTGTCTTCTGGGTTTCCGACTTGACCTAATTGAGTCGATCAACTGGAGGGGAAGGAGGAGTTCTGCAATAGGTAATCTCCGTTTTCTCGCATCGCTCTGTTTTTTTTTTTTTTTTTTTTGCCTGTTGCCGATTAGAAAGCTGCATCTGCCCGAGTTTTGATTTTGTCTTTTCACTCGCTTTGAATCAGGTGTTGATTTTTGTTCCCCCGAACTATGCACGGAGAAGTGGGTTTTGGGGGATGGAAGCCCAGAGTGAATCGATTCCTCTTGCTCTTACTCTTACTCATGGACTCTGAATTTCTGTTCTTTTGTCTGAACTAGCTCATTGCTTAGGGGTTTTTATTGCTCGTTTACTGTTGAAGTAGGAGAAGAAGGGAGAAGCACAGAGGGTATAGTAGTAGCGACTATAGCGATGATGATGATTCTAAGATGGTGCATCGTGATAAGAAGAGGCGTAAAAGAGAGTCAGAAGACCACAAGGAGAGAACACGAGAAGTTAGCAAGTCGAGCAAGCGCAAGGATGACGGTGATGGTGGTGGGAGCTCACCACTGAGGAAGGTTGCTGCTGTAGCTGTTGATGTTCTGGAAGTTAAGGAAAGTGGTAAAACTCGAGAGGAGGAATTAGGGGATGAGCGAAAGAGGTTGGATGATGAGATGGAAAAACGGAGGAGAAGAGTTCAAGAGTGGCAAGAACTGAAGAGGAAAAAGGAAGAATCCGAGCTTGAAAAGCTTGGGGAATCGGGCCCGACAGATGAGCTGAAATCAGGTAAAACATGGACCCTTGAAGGTGAATCTGATGATGAAGATGCCATGGGGAAATCAGATAACGAAATGGATGTGGATGATAATTTGAAACCTGATGGTGAAACCAAAGTTGCAATGGCTGTAGATGCTCATGAAGAAGATGATTCAGCAGTTGCTGCTGCAGCAGCGACAGAAGCCCCTCAAGCTGAGGAGGATGAAGATATTGACCCTCTGGATGCATTCATGAACAACATGGTTTTACCTGAAGTGGAGAAGCTCAATAGTGCAGCTGTTAGTGACAGCGATGGAGTTGATCTCGGCAAGAAAGATGTTAAGACGGAAGCAAAGAGAAACAGAGAGCAGCAGTCAAAGAAGGGGTCAAACAAATCACTAGGAAGAATCATTCAAGGTGAGGATTCCGACTCTGATTATGGGGATATTGATAACGACGAGAAAGCTTCTGAAGATGAAGACTATGAAGAGTCCATGAAGAGGGTAAAGAAGACAAAAGCTGAAAAGTTGTCCCTTGTCGACCACTCCAAAATTTATTACAAGCCATTCAGAAAAAATTTCTACATTGAGGTGAAGGAGATCACTAGAATGACTCCAGAAGAGGTTTCTGCTCACAGGAAAGAGTTGGAACTCAAGATACATGGCAAAGACGTGCCTAAACCGATCAAAACATGGCACCAAACTGGTCTCACCACCAAAATCATGGACACTATCAGGAAACTCAACTTCGAGAAGCCAATGTCGATTCAAGCTCAGGCACTTCCGGTGATCATGAGTGGCCGGGACTGCATAGGCATTGCCAAGACTGGTTCAGGCAAGACCCTAGCTTTCGTCCTTCCTATGCTGCGACATATTAAAGATCAGCCGCCTGTGGAAGCTGGAGATGGTCCTGTCGGGATGATAATAGCACCCACAAGAGAGCTCGTGCAGCAGATTCACAGTGATATCAGAAAGTTTACAAAACCTCTCGGGTTAAGATGCGTGCCAGTGTACGGAGGTTCCGGTGTTGCACAGCAAATCAGCGAGTTGAAGCGTGGGACTGAGATTGTCGTCTGCACGCCAGGCCGGATGATCGACATACTCTGCACTAGCGGCGGGAAGATCACAAATCTCCGGAGGGTCACGTATTTAGTCATGGATGAAGCTGACCGAATGTTCGACATGGGATTCGAACCTCAGATCACGAGAATTGTTCAGAACATTCGCCCCGATCGGCAAACTGTTCTCTTCTCTGCCACTTTTCCAAGGCAGGTTGAGATCTTGGCTCGGAAGGTCCTGAACAAACCGGTCGAGATACAAGTTGGCGGGAGGAGCGTGGTGAACAAGGACATTACCCAGCTGGCCGAGATTCGACCAGAAAATGAACGGATCTTCAGACTGCTGGAACTTCTTGGGGAATGGTATGACAAGGGGAAGATTCTAGTGTTCGTCCAATCACAGGACAAGTGCGATATGTTATACAAGGAAATGATGAACGTGTATCGATACCCTTGTCTCTCGCTTCACGGAGCTAAAGACCAGACAGACAGAGAATCAACAATCTCCGACTTCAAGAACAACGTCTGCAATTTGCTGGTCGCAACGAGTATTGCTGCTCGTGGATTGGACGTCAAGGATCTCGAGTTGGTGGTCAATTACGACGTTCCAAACCACTACGAGGATTATGTCCACCGAGTTGGTCGAACTGGTAGAGCTGGTAAGAAGGGATGTGCGATAACATTCATATCAGAGGACGATGCTAGATATGCGCCAGACCTGGTCAAGGCGTTGGAACTGTCGGAGCAAGTTGTGCCAGACGATCTAAAAGCTCTTGCAGATGGTTTCATGGCGAAGGTGAATCAAGGGCTCGAGCAGGCGCATGGAACTGGTTACGGCGGGAGTGGGTTCAAGTTCAATGAAGAGGAAGATGAGAAGAGGATGGCGGCTAAGAAAGCACAGGCGAAGGAGTACGGGTTCGAGGAAGACAAGTCGGATTCGGAAGATGAGGATGAGGGGATACGAAAGACGGGGAATAACGATCTCGGACAGCTTCAAGCTGCTCGTGCTCAGCAGATGGCTGCACTTGCAGTTGCTTCCGTCCCTCCTCCTGCCCAGCTGCTATCCGCTGGCGGTGTTCGTGCTGCAGCAGCAGATGGGATGGCGAGAGCACAAGCGCTGGCTGCTGCCAGGAACTTACAGCACAACCTGTTGAAGCTGCAAGCCGATGCCTTGCCCGAGCATTACGAGGCCGAGCTGGAGATCAACGATTTCCCACAGAACGCTCGTTGGAAGGTGACCCACAAGGAGACGCTGGGACCGATTTCGGAGTGGACAGGAGCTGCAATCACCACCAGGGGGCAGTACTTTGGACAGGGGCGGGTACCTGGCCCGGGTGAGAGGAAGCTGTACTTGTTCATCGAAGGACCCAACGAGCTGTCTGTGAAGCGAGCCAAGGCGGAATTGAAATGCTTCCTCGAAGAGATCACCAGCAAGGGGTTCTCTGTCCCTGGTGGCGCTCAAACTGGCAGATACTCCGTCGTCTAAAGCATCTGTCACGCTCTCGGAGATTGCTTATTCAATGTTGCAGTGATTGCAGAACACGTTATTTTTCAGTTGGGAATCTTATATTTTGATCTCTGAACGCGTTGATTTTCTCATTGCAGGTCCATGCCTTGAGAGCCATCTGCAGAATGCTATAATTAGCTGTCCGCCATTGGTTAGTCGATCCGAGTCCCCGATTTTTGCAGCAGTTCATTCTTCCTTCCCTCTTCTAATTTTGTAATGGTGGTCGAGGGTTTAAGGTTGGCCCAAATCTTTGTTTGTGCTATACGCAACCATTTATACCAAGTTGTTGGAGATTACTATTAGTAGAACTGTTGAGTCTTTGTGATACCATATCGTACTAACGCGAATCGGTTTCTGGTGTGGTGCAAGAGATCGAGTTATTTGTGTCGTTATGTTGTGGTTCGTCGCTCTTGTACGTGCTACGTTCTTCATCTCGTGGCAAGTCGTCTACTGTTTCGTGCGATTATATAAATCCTAACACTTATTTGGTTAGAGTGTTCTAGCATATGATGTAACGATTATTGAACGGCTTATAGGCTGTCGGAATGATCTCATACTCTCGGCGGCAGAGAGTAAAATATGAACAAGAAGCCGACCATGAGCTGGAACAATAGCTAGAACGGTTTACCATTGAAATTGATAAGTGCAAAATGGACGAGAATGATGATGTGGTACATAACGTACATATAGTATTAGTCTTTACGCAAGTGAGCCGTTGAGATGTCTAATTGAGTTTGAACAACCCGATTATATAAAGTATTAGTGGGTAAGTAAGTAGTGTTTTTCTATTTGGATGTATTCGACGATGATCTAATTTAGTTCTGGTTGGATAAGACCGCAATCAACATAGATTGAGACGTCTCGTGTTTTGAATCTGAATAATTTCTATGAAAGGGGGAGCCAAATGAGTTTGTCTTCAAACTTTCGTTCGCTGATTGAGATTGATGTCTCGTATGATGGGTGAAGTTAACGTAACTTTCTTGTAGCGAGCTGGCTTATTTATTTTTGGTCAAATGACCATGTAACAAATAGTATACATCTAGTGTGTTCTTTCCTTGTGATACTTCACTATTTATTGTAAGAGAGTGGTATATGTAATTGAAATTCATTATTAAATTTCTCTCAACACTCGAGTTATATAGGCCATACAGTTTATAACATGACATCGAAATCTAATTTGGCCAAGTAGTCGTGTGTTTAAAATTTTCATGCCCCCCATTATTGAGTTAAGCACAAATTATATGAGCCCGTGCAAACTCCAGGTCCGTGAGTTTACTTTCATTCAAGTATGCGAGTTGATTGTCGTCTTAGTAGCCATGTTCG